TGCTGTCGCAGAATGGGGTGAGCAATTAGGATCACATAACAATGTAAGTGTAAAATTTTGTATGGGAGACTAACCTGAAATGTAAACTTCATTTAAACTACAACAATTAAAAAGAAGTACAAAGGGTCATTATTTATTGATAAAAGGTTCGATTAACCAAGATATAACAATTCTAAACATGTCGGTACCTAATAAAGTATCTTCATAATATATAAAGCAAGGATTGACAGAACTATAGGAAGAAACTGATAAATCCATCATCACAGTGAAATTCAGAACACTTCTCTTCATTCTTGATAGATCAGAGAAACATACACAAAAAAAGAAGCAAGAATATATAATATCTGAACACAACAATTAGTTAATTAGCAAGCTTTATCTAATGGATGGAGATAAAAAGATATACACGCACCTGTTTTCAACAATAACGAATGGGACACAATAAAGAGTACAGAAGACTCACATGTTTGTGGAAATCTAAACCTAGAAAGTGCCATAGCAGGTAAGTGGGGAAAGGAGAGACTATTCAATAAATGAAGCTGGGAAAAATGGTTATTCCTTGGGGGAAAAAAATTACACCTTTCACCAGCCAAAATATTAACTCCAGATAGCTAGGACATCAGCAGTCAAAATAAAAAAGTTACAGCCTCATCCAAATATATGGATGAGTCTTAAGCAATATAAGGAGTAAAAAAAAAAAGTTCCAAAAGATGACATACAGTATGATACCCTTTTAAAACACTGAAAACAACTGAACTACACATTATACTTTTGAGGATATATGTAGATATAACAAAAGTATGTAAATCAAACGGGGAGGACAAAGAAATAATCAACACAAGATCCAGAATAGTGGTTACCGGTACAGGGCATCAGCGGGATGAAATGAGGAAGGACAATCTAAATGTAAGTGACAGTTAATGTTTTAGATTCCAGATTAGGTGGTACGTTCACAAATGCTTACAATATAATTAAAAGCAAACTTATAAAAAAATAAATAAGAAATGAAGGTATGGTTTTAGTACTGGTGTACTAAATTTCTACAAAGAAATTCCTTTTAATTTTTACACTTAAAAAAATTCTTCTAAAAAAAAAAATTCTTCTGAATTCATACTCAGTTTCTAGTACCAACACCTGACTTTACTTAAAAATGTTTCCCATCTTACTTATTCAACCTGAAGACTTAGAATGAACATTCTTTTAGTATAGCATTAGTTACTTACCGAACGAAAACTTCTCCACAAAAACAAGAGAACAGCAAAAAATCCAAAAATAGCTGCACCTGTCACCAATTCCCACGGAAAACCATAGGGATCAGGACCTGGTCTCATATCTTCAGGCAATGCTGCCACAACCTTCAAGACAAAGACAATTAAGTTTTTTTTAAATGCACTTTTGATAAAAAGTGTTCATTATAAACACAGGTACAAGTTTATGTGGTCAACTTGATTAATATCCTTTTACCGAAATGGACTATCAGATCATCACCAAAGAGAAGATACCTGAGTATAGTTTTCTAGCAACTTTCAACCACTATTAACAAGTGATGAAGGACAGTAGCATGGTGAAATGCAATAATTTCCAATGCTGGGTTCTAAGGAGGAGCCTCAGAACTTTGAGGACGCAAATGAGAAGAGAGAAGGCCAAAGAAAGAAGCTGAGTGGACTGAGGTTCAAGTCGTCTTATCATGATTTCAAGCAGTTCAGGTTTTATCTAAAGAGCATATTGGGGTTTCATATAAAATTTCCCCAAAAGGTTAAAAATAAAAATGGTTCTGCTGCTTTGAAAAAAAAAAAAAGGTTTGAAAACCACTGGATAGTTGATATGAGATAGGTTTGGAATTTGAATCTCTCTACTTCTATGCCTCTTTTGTTATCTATAAATGGAATAATGCTGTTTGAATTTGCAGGGCAGGAACTCGATAAAGGGTAACTATTTCTATTATTCCTCCTCCAAAGATCATGATCCTCTAACCACAGACTTTCCACATTACTTCGCTCCCCAGCAGGTTTTCAGCACAACATAGGCTTTTGCAGTTGCTCCTTTCTCTGGGTCAATTTATCCTTGCTTAATGGGTTTATTCTGTTCTTTGTTACCAGGCTCCAAATATTACTCATTCACATAGAAAGGAACAAGGCAGGGAAAAAAAGGAAAGAAAAATACCCTTTTAAGAACTATCAGCAAATGGTCGACTACACTGGAAATGACAAATTCAAGAGGAACAGTGTCACACTCATCGTCAAGAACACTTTAAGATCTATTCTAAAGTACAACACTGTCAGTAATAGGATAATATCCACGTGCGTACAAGGAAGACCAATTAATAGGACTATTATTCAAATTTACACACCAACCACTACGTGAAAAATGAAGAAATTGAAGATTTTTACCAACTTCT